GTGGAAAGTCTTGGATGTGATTGGTGACGATAAGTTTGGTCCATCATACGTGATTATCGTGCCTCCTCATCTATGCACATACCCAGTTTTTCATGCATCAAAGTTGTTCATATATCGTGATGCTAAATCCATAGACTATCGTGAAAACATGATCCCTCATGCAATCAATGGCCGTCACGAAATCGATAGAATTAAAAGTCACTTAGGGAAGGGACGTAACTGACAATATCAGGTTCATTTCATGTACCACCCGTTGAATGATCCCTATTCGATTTCTAAGAAGGAACTGCCGCGCAGCGCTCCTCACGTTGTGAAAGCATACAAACGGCAAATAGCTTCCAATGCTGCTCCCAAAATCTATGCAAAACTCACTGCTACTAAGCACTCGCGGAATCTTTTCGCTATGTTCGCACGTTTATCAGGGACTCAGAACGAGTTACTCACTCGAAGGGACCTTGCTCTTGAGAGGGGGGTAGTGTTAGGACCTGCCAAACACGGACTGAGACACAACTGATTTCTGAGTTTTGCCAATGGAATGTATGCCTTGCTGAGTTTCCTAAGTCAGAGTGTGTGCGTGCTTGCTGGTCTGCGTGCCTGTCTGAGTGCTCGTCGGTTTGAGTGTGTGTGTGACCCGCAAGGATACTTGTTCGTGCGGAAGGCCCAAAGGGCCGGTACTTACCTATGTCGTGGCATTGAGGGTTGAAGCAGGTAAAACACTCAAGTGGCGGGGAAAGAGGCCCGCGACACTTGGAGCAGTGGAAAAACACTCCGAGTAACAGGTAGGCCGGTACCACAACAAGAAGAGGTAGATGTGCCGGGTACTCGAGGCCGAGCAGAAGAAGACAAAAGTTGGCATTTTTAGAGGCCTAGTAGTTGTAGGCTAGGTCTAGGCGGGTACCAGTGTAACCGGTCTGAGTATAGGGCCTGTACGGGCAATAGCAGAGTCTGCAATGATGTTTCCCTCCGAATGGGAGGAGGTACCAGTTACTTGGAGGCCACGTGGCCTAGGAAGTCACTCGCCAAGAGGCAAGCAGGCCGCTATATCTCCAGGAGGGGCGAAGTGCTCCTCCTCATTGTCGGTGTGCAGTTTGGCGACACACTGGTTGGAGCACTGGCTGGAGCAGCGCTAGCATCAGAGCAGCGCAGTGCTGCTGGGGAAGGAGCAAGGATAGAGAGAGAAAGACAAGGACTAGGAAGGGGGAGCGCCACAGGTTCTTACCTGGCTCTGGTGGTTGCCATCTTCATCACCTTGGTGGGCGCTGCAGCATGAAGGCCCCGTCCCAGTGGGGTAAAGCTACACCAAGAAGCTTCGAGGCAGAGTCAGGCATGGCAGCCTGAGCTGGAGCAGCCATAGCTGCTTTGTGTTGTCCTTTGAACAGCAGGGCAATGCCCTGGTAGTCCAACATAGCCTTCGCCTTAAGGAGGAAGAAGGATGGCTATGGCTATGGTGGTCCTCATGTGATACCTGCACTAGAAGAGGGATTCGAACATTGATTCTGATTCAGCAATTCAAACTTATTATTATTATTATTATTTCTTGTTTGAATAAGAGGGGAGGAGATGAGGAGGAGAGTGGTTGGCGAAGAACACGGGAATTATCATTGGTCTATAATGGTGTACATCATCTTCTTCTTCTTTCTTTCTTCTTCTTCTTCTTTCCCTCTCTCTCCTCTCAAGTTCATTCATTTCTTTTTCCAATTGGGCGGCATTGTACTTTCTCATGAATGTGTACTCCAAAATTGGCCAGGATCATAACAAAGGGCACAATTGCACATATGAGAAAGGCGGCAGGCAAGAAAAGGACGCTCACAAACGTATGCTCAACAGATAAAGACAATCATAAGCCAGTACATTCCATCAACTTGCATCAAACGAAGTCCAATCAACAAACGGCCTCGCCGCACCACTCTCGATACGTGCAGAAGGAGACCGAATCTCCCGCTGGTACATGGCCAGATACACCCGCCACATTTTGCCTTTTCACATTTGGAGAGTGGTGCAGCAAGGCCCATAGCGCATCCGAGAAAAAATGCCTGCCTGGCCTACCGTGCTGAGATATACACACTGCTCGCCCCTAATTGGCCAAAAGGCAGCCCATATGGATCACATGGCACCACAAACTCCACCGGGTATAGAACTCCAATCCAAATGTATGTTATCATGTTTGCTACACAAAACTGCACAAAAAGGCATGATTGCACGAGATTGTTTCATCTGACTGTCACTGGCTCATCATGGGATCGAACCCCAACAGTCTACCCAGGATGCATTTGACTGATGTATCACCAGAGTTTTTTTGTACGTGGTTTGCACATGTGCATCTGCCCAGCTTGCAAAGGCAGAATTGGCATGTGGAGTACCTACTGTCTTCACCCGAATAGAACGCCCGGTCATTATAGCCGTATTTCGTGCAACTTTCAGTCCTGATACAGCGATAATTACCAGGCATTCTATTCAGGTCAAGACAGTAGTTTGGGTGAAAATGACTTCGGCGCATTGCTGCAGGCATCTATGATACAACTGTCCTTCCCCGAATGTGTTGTATCTGAATGCAATGCGTATGCGTTGTATTCCAGTTTTCGAATACAGTTGATGATTCAAATAGAAAGCATGTGTGTTGAACTCGAATCCAAGGGTCGTTCAAAGAGAACGCATAATGTGTTGCATTCGAATAGAAAGCAACCTATGCGCTGTATTCAATGTTTACAACGCAGGTGTTAACAAGGGGCCATGGGAAGGTCCGGCCTACCAGATCAAAAGGGTTGCCCACAACCGTTCAAGATTTCAGGCCTGCCAAAAAATTGAGAATTGGGGAAAAGCCAACAGCTAACGACCAGGCCCCGCTAGCATTAACTATGCTAATAAAAAAGTATGAGCGTGGATAAAGAAATTGTCAGATCGTACTTTCCAGGACTGTGGGGCTGGCCCTAAAAGAGGTGCAAGCACAGGCAACGATGGAAAGATGTTGCTCTGAAACAGAGTGGCATTGAATCACATGAACCTGAATAGGACAATGGCGAGCTTTTGGTTTTCTAGCACAAACATGGCAGCAATGGGGTGCAGGTGTATGTACACACACAGACAGACAAGCAAAGACGTTGCTCAGAGACGGTGTGGAGTTCAATCACATAAACTTGCAAAGGAAAACGACCATGTTCTCGCTTTCTTCGCACGAACATAGCACCCGTGGGGCCGTCCCTAACAACCTTGCAGGCATGAAAAAAGAAACAGACAAGAGACAGACATGGAAAGATTTTCATCTGTCCTTCGGGACATCTGTTAAAATTGGAACGGACAGAGAAAATTAGCTTGGCCCGTGTAAGGATGACACGCATAAATCGAGAAATGGTCCGCAATGCTCGACATAAAATAAAATAAAAAACAAAGAATGTCCTTCCAGATCATCCATTAAAATTGGAACGATACAGAGAAGATTAGCATGGCCCCTGCACAAGGACGACAGGCATAAATTGAGAAAGGGATTTTCATCTGTCCTTTGGGACTCCCCCTCCCTCGATGTCTGGCTTCTCTCTCTCTCTCTCTCTCTCTCTCTCTCTCTCTCTCTCTCTCTCTCTCTCTCTCTCTCTCTCTCTCTCTCTCTCTCT